TATATTATATATTATATATTATATATTATATATTATATATTATATATATATATATATATATATATATACATAATTTTGGTTGTCTTCACCTGTTTCTGTTTTACTCATAATTTGCCTTTATATATATATTTATATATAATATAAATGAGAAGACCGAATTGCATACAAGCCCATTAAGAATAATGATTAATATAACAATACGCCTGCGTAGGAATCTGTATATTATTCATTTTCTTTTTTTTTTTTTGTTCTATTCAGTTTTTTTTTTCGTCTTACTGTTTTATTTTTTATGCGGCCTTACCTGTACTCTGTAGGTAGTTCGAATGTAAAAAAATACCTCAATACGACTATGAATAAAGTAGACAATGAAAGAACGAAAAAAAAAAGAGAAAAAAAAAGAGAAATAGAGGCAAGGAGAAATAATAAAAAAGGAAAATAAGACTAAGTCTTAGACTAACAATAAACTCGACGCGTAGAGATTTACAACTAGATGCATAATAATGAAGAATCATCAAAATGAATGATAGGAAATAAGATTGTGGTACATAGCATAGCCAAGAAAAGCAGAAGCACACTACCATTACTGGTATAAATTAGCCATTTGTGGCTTATTTATTGTTTTCCAGCACGGTGCCTTTCCACTTTTTTTTTCTTCTTCTTTTTTTTTTCTGTCAAGTACGAATCCTTGTCGTTAGGTATTGAATGATGCATCTTATAGAATGCCACGATTGCTGTTGTTGTTGTTATTATGATTGGGTTAGATGCCGTTTGCTTGTACATACAACATCATCAATTCCGCTTGATATCGCGCCTGTGCGAGAGAGACGACGAGTGAAGGTCATCATTATCATCATCGATAGCAGTAACAATGATGACGACGACAGCAATGATGGCAGCAGTTTTTTTTTTGCCTTGGTATTCTTGTTAAAGCAACATGAGCAAGAAACAAGTAATAGGGAATAACCTAGCAAACAAGGCAAGCAAATCAAGAACAAACCGTTGATGCAATGAAGCATCATTGAGCGTCAGATGCTGTTGAAAACTGAGACATAGAAATAAATATAGGACAATAAAGATTCTTTTTCTCATATATACAATCGCATCATCATTGCATTATATATTAAGCAGTAAAAAAAAAAAGAGAGAGAAAAGGCATTTAATTGACAGATAGAAAAATTTCTTTTTTATTTACCTTAACCATTTTCTCTTAGGCTGGTTTCAAGTAATCAGAATAAAGTAAAAAAAAAAAAAAAAAGAAAAGACACGGAATAAATATAAAACACCATCTGGTTACGAATCGATTTTTTTCGAGTTAAGTGCTTTTTTAACGATTGAGAAGGTTGTATGATGTACGAATAAGAGAAGGTCTCTGCTATGATTCTCTTTTCTTTTTTTTTTTTTCGTGTTGTGGTTTTGTTCTTTCCGTTTTTTTTATTTCTTCTTCCCTTTTTTTTCTCTCTCTCTCATTCTGTTGTTTTTTTTTCCTATTAGTAATCGACCAACCGCGGAGACGTTGATGTTTCGAGAAAGAGTCAGCTATGGTAACTTTCATTTGTTGTTTAAGAAACCTGTGTAAATTTGCCATTTCGCCATAAACAAATGGATATGGTCAATAAAAAAACAAAATAAAAAAAAAAAGGAAAATAACACAAAATAAATTCATTTGTGTGATTGATATTTTTGAATGTTTCAAAAATATTTAACCTTGTAAATACCTTTATTTGATTAAAGGATTTTCTTTACATGAAAAATCTTAAGAACAATTCATTTCCTTGATATTCTAAAAAAGGAAATTTGTCGATTTGGATTGCCTAAGGCTAAATGATATAGAACATGCTAAATGTCATGGCTATGGCGATAATCGAACCAAGATTTTATCCTATATATAGATATCTCGGCTTTTTTCCTTCATCAATGAAACAGATAACATTGATTACTTATAGATTTATCGGTTTAATATTTTAATAATAGTAGAAAATTAACTATAGATAATCAGAATTTTCGAAAAACAAATTTTTCAAATATAATACGAATGTTGAAAAATTTCTATAGTCAAAAACTTCTTAATATTGTTAAAAAATTAATGTGATAAATGAATAATTAAACGCGGTCTAATATTCCTTTTTTTTTGTAATGGATTATTCTAAAAATAATCTAGATGATTTGTTTATGCAATCTATAGCATTTTCTTGATCTAACGTTGATAGTCAATAGCTAATGAATTAGATAATATATCATTATTCGATTACTAGATAATCATTTTTACATATTGTTTCGTCTATATAGAAACTTATTCATATTCGTCTTGTTTATCTCATAATTGTATTTATTAGAAAATGTCTTCCTTCTTCTTTTTTCAAATCCAAATTGGTTTTCTTTTATGGTTGTCATGTTTCGATTTGTTACCATTCGTTGTTCTTGTCTATCAAAGATAAGCATAAACAAGAAATGAGCTTTCAATACTTGATGATAATATCGATTAGCATGCATTACTAATTCTTGTGTACATGTATACAATCCTATGAAACATCGATGAATGATTAACACTTTAAGCATGCAGCAGAGGCAAAAAAACTTCAAAGTAACATAAAATAGATCAAGTATGATATTCTTATCATGTAATCATATCCCTAAGAGATCATAAAAATTACTTATTGGTATTTTTCATAATCTTTTCATTTTTTTTTTCTTTTATTTGCAAAAAAACAAAAAGATTTATATTCAAGTAACTTATGTCGAACCATATTTCGATACATCTGAATTACAACATCGTCCAACACATTTCGATCGAAATTATAATCTTAGTAAATTATAATTTTTCTACTTATTCTTTTTATTTTTTCTTAAAAAATCTAATTAATAATTTAGAACGTTTTATGTATGCATCACCATTTACAATGGATACAAATCGTGCACATGGTTCATTACCTGAACAATATAAACGTAAAACAATTTTAACTGTTGAACGTGCTTTTCCATATGTTAAAACACGTACTGGTGTAATCGATCGTGAACGTTTAATTTTAAGTCCAATTGAAGTTGCTATAGAAGATTTACAAAAGAAAACTGATGAATTACGTGCGGCTATACAACAAGAACCAGCTGATCCTAAAATTCTTCAAATGGTTATACAAGGTTGTATAAGTACTGCTGTTAATCAAGGTCCATTAGAAGTTGCAAATATATTTTTAAATCCAATTATGAATGGATTAGAATTACCAAATATTCATCATAATCGTTTAAGATTATGTTTTAAAGAATTTACTCGAAGGTATTTTTTGTTTTTTTATTAAAATAAAATTTTCGAAAATGATCTCGATTTTGATTTTCTTTTCTTTTCTTTTCTTTAGACTTGCTGAAGCATTAAAACGAAATAAAACATTAATTCACGCTGATCAACGTGAATATCAAAAAGATCTTGAAAATAAATTTACAAAATTTACTGAAAGTCTTCAACCACTTTTATCTGCATGTAAGCAAACAGCAATTATTGAAACAACTTTAACAAATAATAAAAGGTAAAGTAATAATTATATACATATATATATATGTATGAAAGAATATTTCAATAGGAATATAATTCATATAAATTATTTCAGAAACAAACGTCGATATCAATTAGTTACTCTAGGTTCTTTTGTTAAATAAATAATAATAATAATAATAAAAAAAGAAAAACTCTATACTTACAAATGCTTCTAATGCTAAATGACCGATTTTTTCTTTCTTTGCGCTTTTGCTTTTTGAAAAAGAAATACTTTTTATTTTAAATAATAAATAATTTATTTGCTTTTTTATTCTAGTGTAAAAAAAATTCGTTCGTCTCGTTCATTCAATAATGGTACATCGACAAGTAGTAGCGTCATATTGACAGGCTCTCAGCCTGAAGAAGAAACATCGACTTAATCGAACATATCATGGTCAGATGTGACTTGCTGCGCTTTTCTTTTATGTATATGCATATGTATGCGTTGTTAATGTCAAATTCGTACTGTTTTCTTTTTTTTTTTTTTTGTTCTTACGTATTATTTCTTATCTATACGATTGAAGTGAAACTAAATAATTGAATCAAATAAAAAGCTCATTTAACCAAAGAAAATATACTTTCGATCGTTAATTAATAAAGAAGAATCTAATTAAATCAATGTATCATTTACGAATCAACGTCTAATGGAAGTTACTATAAACAAGAATATATTGTAATTGTGAACTGACAGTAAAAACAACTTTTATTATCCCAATGATTTTTGTTTATAAAAGAACGACAAAAGAAAAGGATATAACAATCATCGATCTATAGTAAACAATGATGTAATAGAGTGTCTGGTAATCCTTGGTTTTAACAAAAAGAAAAAAGATATACATATTTAATGGATCATCTCTTCCGTATATCTACGTAGAAAAAGGACACGATTAATCTTTGTTCACAAAATCAAAAGTATTATTAGTTGCAAAGAGCTGAACCGAATATATATATATATAAATATCAAACATTGAAATTAAAATTGAAGTACTTACCATTGAAAGAAAAAAAAACAAACTCTTCAGTAAAGAAAAAAGAAATACACTTACCGATCAATAGAAGGTTATTTGTAAATAAGTAGTGTAAAATATTCATTTTTATCATTGAAACTTACGACCTTGTAGACATTGTACTCTGTGATTCGTTACGAAAGCAATGATGGTTCAAGGATGCGTTAAGATATATACAGACATTCCTAATTGAATATGATTGATGATAAGAACTATACATGAATTAACATTAATGTATTAGATTTAATTTTCAACATAAATAAGATTTTCACTTTTTTTTTCTTTTTCTTTATATTGAATTTAGGATTTGTAATGTTTTCAAAGACATTTTTATTAATTCAACAGTTGAAATTAAATATTTAAATTTGAGAAAGAAAAAGAAAACTCAGCTATGTAAATGTCATACACTTAATCATAATCTAACACTTCAAATGATATAGGAGATTTACCTTGAAAATTCAAAAATAAAAAAATTTTTTATATGTCAATCTAATGGAATTATTTTGACAATGGTTTTTTTTTGTTGTTGCTATTATCGATGATTTAATATTTAAAAAAATTGATGATTTTTTTTTCTTTTTTATTTATATAAAAACTTGACAATTTATTGAAATTGACTTAATGTTGTATTTTATCGATAAATATTTTGAAGATATTTTATTACTAGGTAATATTTAGAAAGAAAATACGTTTATGAATAAAATAAGATTCTTCCTAGATTGATTTCAAAGATGTTTGTCATGAAAAGTGAGAAGAACGTTATAAAAATATTCACTAGGATTAAAATGAAATAAGATAGGTTTTGATGTAAACTTTTGAGAATGTCGACGATGTATTATACTTAAATAAAATATATTCCGATATCAACTATACATAAATCAGACTGTCCTTCACATTTTTCTCTTATTTAATAGACATATCATTTTTTGAATATTTTTCTTAATATGTTGTTGTTTTTTTCTTTATTATTATTATTATTCTTTGATTACGAATTTTGATTAATCATATTTTTCATCTCTTTTTATCTTTTAATTAACAAAAAATTGATGAATTTTATGCTTTTTTTCCTCTCAAAATACTTCATCATTCAAAGAAATTTTCATTTAAGAAATCTTTTATAATTTATCCATCAATGACGACTGGAAAATATCGAGGTTTCAATTATAAATATTCAACTTTCATTAAAAAAAAAATCTCCATAATGAGATATTTTTAAAAACGAAGCAACCAAGTATTTATATTGAGAATCTCCGAAACGGATATGGCCTAAGTAACAATAATAATAATACATTTATATATTTTATTTACACATGATTGAAAACATTTGTATAAAAATTTTTTGACATAAAAAAAAAAAAGAACTACACAAATTATTCCGCATGTATGAACATTTTATTCAAGCAAAAATAAATTCACGATAAAAATTTTCTTTTTTTTTCTTTTCTTATTTTATCCTTAAGAAATTGTTTATTTATTCGATCGATGAAATAATTCTATTGAGGAAATAGTAATTTATATCTACAGTAGATCTATATAATAACAGCTACACTTTATGTCATGTATTTCCTGATTTAATTTTCTTCGATTGCAAATAAGAATAGTTTTGATGAAAAAAGAAAAAAAAATAGTATAGACATCTGGTAAGAATTTTCTTCCATCTTGATCTATTTAGTCGTTTCTTCTCAATCACTTATTCACAGGAGGTTGAATAGAAAATATGACATCTCTTTAATTGAGCATTGAAAAGAAAATTGGTACTTTTCTATCATTGTCCTTGCTTTTGATTCAATTACAAGAACAATATCAATCTTGTCTTGATCCTTTCTTTACTTCTTTTCTTTTTTTTTGTTTGTCGGAGGTTAAACGACTGGTTGTGCTGTTGCAGCTATGTCGGATTAGTCGCGCACTTTCTTTTCTCGTCTGTCTGATGATGACGTGCACACGCACACAAGGGATTAGAATACAAGCCGACGACGTGCACATTCACAAGAGAGTTTATCGTTGTCATTGTCATCTTTGTCGTTGTTGTGTGTATATGTATGTGTATGTGTGTGTGTGTGTGTGTCAAGTTTCACTCTTTTTTCTTTTTTTCTTTGCAATGAGGTGTGGCGACGTGACGTGTGAAGTTCACTTTCACCCCAATCATCATCACATGCTCTCTTTTCACACACATACAATCAATGTCGTTTATCTCGCATGCACTTTTGTTCAAATGAATGAATGTGTTTCGATGATAATAGCTGACTACAACTACAACATCATCAACTAACATCAAGAGAAAGAGAGCAGCATGCATAATTGAGTTAATCGCTACGCATGCTTTCGTTTTTCTCTCTCTCTCCTTCTCTCTTTCTCTTATATATTGCCGCCAGCTGTAAGAATGCGTCCCAATTCGATGGAGCGAACGATCGATACGGAGCTAATTCAACACACAACTCACATAGAAGTAGACTCGTTCTCCTGCTTGCAATGCCTAATTGTTTTGATAAGCAAGCCGCCAGGCATACATATACACATACACACCATGTAGCGAATCTTTTCCGGAACATATATACACCGACCTTTTTCTTCATCTATATATATATATATATGTATGCAGCTTGTCATGTATTCTCATCAATCACTCCCCGCTTTACACACATCATACACCCGCACAGACACAGTCGCTATGCCATTCCATCCTTTCTTCTTCCTCTTCTACTTCGTTTTCTTCTTTACAACTTGTTATAGTCTCAACGGGCATACACATATATATACATAAGCGCGGTCAAATCTATATAGAAGAAGGAAGGCTGGAAGCGACGGCAATTAACAACATCGAACTCTCTTCATTTCTCTATTCTCTCATTGACTATCTTGACTGGCAGGCAACAAATATTTGTATGGGTGCACTCGATGGTAATGCCTCAGGAGATCAACAATGACAATGACAATGACAACGACGTGTGTGCCAAAGGAACTTGTTAGACCGGAAAATGACCTCTAGCCTATATACATCACATGATAATTATCTATCTCTTTTCTATGTCTCGTGTCGTTGTCATCACACATGTGATTTGATTTTTTATCTTTTCCGTTGAGTCGTTGCTGTTCTATATATCTTTACTGCACAATTCAATTTCCTGTTAATATTTAATCATTGCCGTCGGAACGAACGAACGAACGAACATCAAGCTAAAAAAACGCTGATTGCTTTCTCGCGTGTTTCCTCTCTGTTCTCTTCTCTCTTCTTTTCTTTTCTACTATAACTGCCAAGTCAATTATTAATTGGGCGGGCGCGCGCGCGTAATGGTGATCTGGATTGAATCCTTCATCTTGTGCTATCTTCACTGTCTCACATCTAATTGATGTAAAGAGACATATTAAAAAAAAAAAGGCGAGAAATGAGCTTTTCACGCTTCATTCATAAATGAGTATGTTGGTAGCGTAACTCATTAGGTTCTTTCTTTTCTGTCGTTCTGGAGTAAAGCTAACTCCCTCATCGCGTCTCGTAATTGATTTTCGATGATTTATTAGTTTGCTTCGCCGAACACGCGAACCCATAAGAGAGAGTGAGCTGCTGAGTGCATGCATGCAGAGTGTCAAAATTACTTGTTCTCTCGAGATATCGACGCGCAATACACATACACACATACAAGTCCATTATTTCTTCTTTTCTTCTTCTTTTCGATTCTTTTTTCCGTTTTTTTTTCCATTTGTAATTTCTTTCCTTCTTATATGCATGTGTCTATCAAGAAAATTGACCGAGCTGCAAGGCAAATAGGCAAAGCATTGAATAAACACATTTTCTTGGGTGCCAAGACTAATTGAATTGTTGTTGTTGGTCGTTGTCGATCGTCTTCCTCTCTCCCTTATCCTCTCATCATCATATCACAAGCAGATGGTCTAATTTGCACACATACGATGTCTTTCATTCTCTTAGCGTTATTTTGTTAGTATGTGTACGCACATCGCATGCATAGAAACGACATACTGTGAAGAGTAACAGCAGAAACAGAAGCATTGAAGAAGAAAGAATCTCAAGTGTCGTCGACGGTGAGTACACTTCTCGTCGTCGTTCTCTTTTTAATCATCATCATCATCATCATCATCATCATCATTTATAGATGTGAAATATTTTCTCTTGCATTTTACATACCGCCACCCGTCGGCCGTCCGTCACTTGAGTATGTCAAGAAGACATAGAGCGGAGAAGAGGAGGAGAAAAAAGGGGGGAGAAAAGAACTCGATAAAATTATATGTGTCTATATATGTGTGTATGTATGTTGGTTCAAGTGTGTGCACGCACACACTTCAGTTTTGAGATGAAGAAATATGAATTAGCGACGAGTAACCAAAGAAAAAGAGAAAAAGAAGAGAAAGATTGCTAAATAGAGAAAATAACATACACAATGTGTGACCCATTGAATCTCAATGAGAAGCACTGCAGGTGTCAACTCTTGTAGTTTTTTTTTTTCTAGATAGAATAGATAGATAAAAACAGCATGTTTATACCTGGGTCAATTCCTGCAAATACAAATTTACCAATAACAACAATGAATAATAATCTTCATCAACAACAATTTCTTTTTGATAATCTAAGTAAGTATCATTTTTTTTTAATACTCATATCAAATTCCTTTTATTTCCTAAAACTAATAAATATGAGATTTTTAAATTAGTCGTTTTTTTTCTTCTTTTTCTTTTGTATATATATATATATGTATGACTAATCTAGATTGACTGCAAGAGGGATTTTAGTCAGCATTGTAATAGTAGGATCAATTTCATCCCTCTTTTCTTTTCTCATTGAAACACATATTCTTTATATATATATATGTGTATGTATGTCTCCGTTTGGCTTATCCAGCTCAAATAATACCGTGCTTGATCCTTGTCTCTTTTTTCTTAATCGATTTGACAACATTGAAATAAAAGACATCAAATATTGTCTTGATAACCTTGAACAATATTCATTTTTACATTAGAAGATCACCGTTCAAATAAATTATCATCATCAATGTCACGAAAAACATCATCAACACCAAGTAATCGAAAATATTTTTCTTAATTAAAAACGAGAGAAAAAAAAAATATATTGGTTTTTTTTTCTTTTTCTATTAATTAGATTTTTCGCTTGATCCTGATTTATTACGTGAATTAAATGCTCGATATTTACATGATATAAATGCAACACGAACAACTAATACAACTAATTCACCAATAGATGGTAATGGACTTCCAGCATTTCTTTTACCACCATTTCTTCGTGCTGAACATTATCATCAACATACACATACACATGAACATAATTTAAATATTTTAACACCACCTAATAATTCATTATTAAATGGAAATCTTAATAATTCGATCGTATGTCAATTTATACTTTTTAGTTTTATTTTCTAAAATAAAAAAAAAAACTAAAATTCAATAAATTTTTATTTAGTTAGATAAATTATCGAAATCAGACAATAGTCTTTCACCATTTTTACGTACAACAGCTGTTAATAATGTAAATATTTTTTTTTTTATTCAATATATAAAAAGAAAAATATTTTAAGATTATTTTCTTTTATTATTCTTTAAGTTTTCTCCAGCATCACTTTTACCACCACCGCCGCCACCAATGTTTCCACCATTTAGTATAAATAATAATCCAACAACAACACCTTCTGTTAATAATAATAATAATAATAATAATAATAATAATAATAATAACAATAATTCAACAAAAGATATTCCATCACCTACCGCTAAAGTATACATTGACATTATTTATTTTTTAATTTTTATTTTATTTATTCTTTTTATAGAAATCTGCCAAATGGTGTGCAGCACATGTACGAATATCTTGGATGATTTATCATCAACAACAACGTTCGAAAGATAAATTATCTCCATCAGATAATAGAAAAGATGAAGAACAACAACAACAGCAACAACAGCAACAGCAACAGCAACAACAATCATCATTAAATAATAAATTACCTGATCTTATTTCAAATACAAAACCTCATTTACCACCACCACCACCATCAACCAGTGATTTATCTCTTCCATTAACTTCAACATATCCAACTCCACATTTACCTCCACCACCATCATTTAGTATGTTTCTTTAAATATATTACAAAAGAAAAAAACAACAACAAATAATTTATGTTTCTATATATAGATTATCGATCACCATTTGATTTTGCTGGTGTTAATAATGGACCATTAGGTCGTATACCTCCATCACCAAGTAGTGCATTTGGTGGTCTTGGTTCTTTATTTCCTCCACCACCACCACCATCTTCATCGACAAATGATCGAAAATCAGATATAAATGGATCAGTAGCAGCAGCTGCTGCCCTTGGTCTTGATTGGTCACGATTTCATCGTGGTATTGGACCATCATCATTAATTCCACCTTTAACACCAATTTCATCAACTAATGATAATTTATCATTTAAAAAATTCGATGAAACAAATAATAGTAATCATGAAAAGTATGAGAATTTATTGCAAAAGATTTTTAAAATTTTTTGTTTTGTCGAATAGTAGAAAACGTTCTTCATCTGTACTTAATAATGATGATGATCGTCGTAATTCTCATCATCATTTAATGCTTCCGCCATCACATTTAACAAATAATAATTATTCATCATCATTATCATCATCAAATCGTTCTCGTTCACGTTCTCCACATCCTTCTTTACATCATCATTCATCATCATCATCGTCATCATCTAGTCTTTTAAATAAAAATTCATCTTCCTCACCACCATCAATACATTTATCATCATCTTCACGTAAACGTAATTCACCAAATACAAAACCAAATATATCAGATACTTCGAAAAATTCTTCACATCCTTCTCTTCCTCCTCTACCACCACCACCGCCACCACCAACAGGATTACCTCCAATGCCTCTTCCGCCAACATTTGGTTCTTTTGATCCTTTAACATTATCAATTATTGAACGACAACGTTTATCAGCTGCTTATGCGTCATTATTTGCTGCTGCTACTGCATCTCAACCAAATAATTATTTTCCGTGTAATATTGATCCAACAACATATCGTAATAATGGTTCATCAAATATATTTCCAAATGTTGATTCATCAGCAATGACAGCTGCTTTAATGCAACGTGAACATTTTCTTAATTCATTACGACAACAACATGAACATATCCTTGAACGTGAACGTGAACGTGAACGTGCAACATCTATTATATCATTAAATAAAACATTAAAATCATCATCAACAAAAATTGAACGAATATCACCAAAAACTAATAATGATGAAATACCAAGAATAAGTCCAAAACTTGGAACGTCACCTGGATCACATTCTTCAACATCATCATCATCATCATCAGAATCATCAAAAAAAATAAAACACGTTAAACGTGATAAAGAATCACCATCACCAACTGTTCCTTCAACGACAATGACAACGACAAATACAGAAATAATATTAAAAGATGAATTAAATAATAATGAATCAACTTCATCACTTTCAACTACAACATAAATTTGTCAAAATATATATGTTTCATTTCAAATCAATTTTCTTTTTATTTTTATTTTTCTTCGCCGGTGTTGTTTCTCACTCTTACATTGTATTTATTATTCGCTATTTTTTGTCTTCTTGCCTTGCAATTTCTTTTTCGTTTTCTATATTTGTTTGTGTGCTTTTGCTTCACGATACATAAAAAAAAAATATTTTGTATCGTGGAAAAAATTTTGTTGACATCGATTTTTTTGATGATCAATATGTAACATATACAAAAAAAAAAAACAAAGAAAGAAAACAAGATGTTGTGGTGATGGAACAAATTTGTTTTATCTTATTTCTAGACTGAAGTTCTTTTGTTTTTGGAAATTTAAGAAAAAAAAAAAAACTTTGATCTCGAAAATTTTATTGAAAAGATTTCTGAAAAAAATACTTTTCTATTTCAAAATTGGAAAGACGTACGTTGGGATATATTTTATTTATTAATTAAATATGTGGAATTAATCCTTATATCGAGGTCTACTCTTATAGTATACTATTTGATAGTTTAAAATATTTCGTCTTTTTTTTCCTTGTGGTTTACATCAAATGACAAAATAATCTCTTTCTAGAATATATATAAGGTAATGATATAGTGTCCTTAGTCTTTATGCTCGTATGTCAACACATCTTGATAATAAATATTGTCATTTTACATTTTTCTTGCTGCATACTTGTGCTGTTATCTTAAGTACATGTTGTTTTTAACAGTATCTTTTATATTTGAATATCATACAACTTAAAAATTACGCAATAGATAGTTATAAAAAAAAAAAGCTTAATATGAATAAATATAAATTCAATTTTCATTAGAGCTCGTCGTCTAACAGATTGTTTATTAAATGGATTAAGCAATGAATTTCTTTTTTTTTCTTTGCATTATACTCATACAAAGATTTGCTTCCTTGATAAATTATCGAATCAAGCGATAATATTTACTTATGAGAGAACCACCGGAACTGGTTAGTGTTGTTTTAGCTCATATTTGATTCACAAGGAATCCTCGATAAGACTAAAAACAGTCGAAAAGAATTCGCAGCCATGGGCGTTTATAATTGAATTAGGATCGCTTTACTGAATTTTCAATCAAACTTTAGATAATTACATATCAAGAAATCAAAAAAGCAGAATTTCAATGTGAAATTTAGCCTGTATATAAGTCGAATGATTTGTAGAATATCTTGAAAGTTTCAGCCGAAAAGAATATTCATTTATAGAGATATCGAATTTACTTGAAAATTCAATATCTCAATAAATGAACATTCTTTTCAAGTGAAATTTTTAGAATATTCCATGGATTATTAGACTTATTTACGTCGAAATTCTGTTTTTTTGATTGTTCGGTATACATCTAAAGTTGGGTTAAAAATTCAGTAAAACGATTATGACTCGAATGTAAAAGTATATGAGAACAAACCCTTTTAGACTTTTGCTAGTCTTACTAAGGCGTTCTTGTAGGTATAATGTAAGCTCAAACGGCGACTATTAATTCGGGTGGTTTTCTTGTTAATGCTTATTTTAAAGTACTCGTGTGCATATTACTTCAAGGTATTTACAAGTGAATAAATGATGAATAGAACCTTGAATTTGTAACTGTATTTTATCAAATGTTAATCTCTAATTATTAATATGTTTATATTTATCAAATGTATCGAAATTTCAAACATCGATATAAAAGTTTCAAGTAGATTAAAATATTTTTATTCTAGTTCGATGAAATGACTGATATAGTTTATATGATCCTTCATAATCAAATTTACCAGCTTCATGCATAATTCATAGATGGCGATTGTCGATAAATGCATATTGACATAAACCGAAATTTAATAGTAAGATAGATGTAAAAAGCATTTATACATAGACTATTCTTTGAAAATTTTATATAAATATATGTCTATGCAAATCGAATTCAATTTGGATCTATGATGTTTAATTTACAAGATAATTTTATAAGTAGAAGATCAAATCATTTAGCACATCGTTTTTATTATAAGTCAGCATGTTTTAATCTTGTTGCTATTTGATTTCACTTTTTTGTCTGTAAAAGCAATAATATAACAATGGATTCACATAGACGACATGACAAACAATAGTAATGACTTTTTTTTCCAATGTAACACATCAACAATGAAATATGAAATTATCCTATGAAAGAAAGCTAAGTATGTATTAAGCATTAACCAGAATATTTCTTGCCGTCGACTTGGAGAATCATTGAGTTCTCTCATCGACGTTATTCTTTTGACTAAGTACGTGATAAATTGTTAATATGGATAGATAAAATATAATTTATTTGTTTTTACGTATGTCTCTTTTATCAAAAAAAATTTTAGCAAATAAAAATAATATGAAAAGTATACCAACAAACTTTCTGGTTATATACAGTGACTCCCAAAATTATTCAATCAGGCTTATTTTCAATTTTTTGTCTTCTATCATAAACACAAATAAGAATCTAAATAGTGATTTGTGTAGAGAATTTCATTTCCAACAAGGATTTTGGAAGATGAAAATGATTGCTAGTTTTAAAAAGATAGGCTCTCTGAAATATTAAAAACCAAGTTTTTCATTTACTAGAATCCATAAATATAATTCTATTTTAAGGGGACTTTACTTCTCTTCATCACAAAGTATATTATTTTTTTGTCTACTTTGTAGAGAAAATGAAACTGCATGAAGTGTCAAATTTTTTCAGCAAACGGGATCGTTTTGACAGAATTACGACTCTGTTAGAGTTACAAAAATTGTATGTATTCAGAAATTATTTCAACAATCGAATGAATATTCTCAGAGATATATTGCTTTTATTATTAGGTGTATTTTTATCTGTCTAACAGTGTTTTTTAAAAAACTTCTTTTAGGAATCACGATCTAAAACAAACCTGCAGTATAGGAATGAAGGCTATACATACTCTCAAACTCACAGATCGTGGCGGATACTTTTAAACACCGAAATATATGCTGAAGAGTTTTCTAGCTTGAAATATCAATCGCTCTAATTTGTTCCAGTTTTTATACCACCTGAATCGTACAGTCTTCATACCAGACATTGAACCAGTACCAGTACAGTCAGTACAAATACAAATACTTTTTACTTAATAATTGTATTTTGTACTTTTACCTAAGTATATTTTCTTGAATAAAATATACTCAGTACTGGTACTGAGTACATTTGTACTTAGTATAATGTACCTAAGTACAATGGACTTAAGTAAAAGTGCATATTTTGTTCTGATTTGTATTTTTTTATCGACATCAATCATTTTCGAAGTCTAATGACATATGTAGTAGCAATAAGATGAAAAGATTTTGTCCATTCTACGATATTTTCACGTGTGTGGATATTAAAATCGAGATAATTTGTAAGTTTAAAACTTCAGGATGTATGTGCTCGTGTTAGCTCTCTGTTCAGCTATCGTCGCATACACATACACGCATCTCCAACCCATCCGATCCCATAACATGAAGTTTTAAATTTATAAATTATCTCGATTTTAATACCAATACATAGAAAAATATCGTAGAGTGGATAAAAGCTTTTCATCTTTTTACTATTATATATGACGTTAGGCTCCAAAAATGATTGATGTTGATGAAAAAAATACGAATCAAAGCAAAATCTCTACTTTTACTTAAGTACAATTGTTAAGTAAAAAGTACATGTACTTGTATTGTAAATGTAGTTTTTGCGTCAAGTACTCGACGATAATCCTTGAAATTTCGCATCTTATTCTGAGACAAAACATGATCAAATGAATATTTATATTTTTCTATGTTAAATCCAATGTAATGAAATATTAATTAACCGATAATAGTATCAAAACTAAACTATCGAGTGGAAATCACTTTTGACGAAATCATCAATGATTTTTACTTTGAAAATGTTTTATAGCATCATTTTGAATCGTTAAAATCAAATAATATTGTTGAATTGATAAATTATTTGTTGTATATAATAACATATTTTGAATTCATACTCCTTTCTCATCGTCTAACACTTCATCTTCAATTACGAAAGTTGCTCAAGATTCAGAGCAACAATCCCTCTCCAAAGGAAATCATGATCAACAACTTGTTTTGTTGTATGAACTTGCAAATTATCCTGTTGAGAAAAATCACTTGCGTGACCCACAGGAAAACGTGCTCCATTTTTGAACTATAATAGCTAGAGAGGTCAGCCTTGCATCGTTTTGTAGAGGGACATTCAAGCTATCTTTTGCATAGTTTGGACATACAGGTTTGTATGAAACTTGAAAAAACTGCAACGAACTCTTTGAAAGATTGATAATGACGAAGCTCTGAATCTGTAAGGATTTCCAGGAAGATCGAACATTTCCTCGTTTCAATAATAAAAGGGTGAGAAAATCATCTTGTTTATAGGAGTTATTATTATGAAAATTCAGTTGAAAAATAACTTAAACAGTGTATTCAGAATCAGTATATAAATCTACAGTGGACCACATATATTTAAGCAACATTATTTTTCCATTTGATACAGAATTTGCTGAAATATATGTGGCTCGATGTAAGTTTACATGTTGATTCTGAATATACTGTTTAAATTGTTTTCAATTGATTTTTCATAATAATAACTCCTATAAACATGGCCATTTTGTGATCTTTTTACTACTGAAACGTGGAAATGTTCAATTTTTTCAACAATAGAACATAAGCTTAAAAAACTAAATGAGTACTTTTCTAGTTCACAATCGACTGACTCAAATGACAAAAGGCATTTGATCATATCTTCTATCGCAAAGAATTAGACAGTTTCACAAAAGTGTCTATAAACACATGTCACGTGTCTGCACGTATTGAAAGCTGTTTTGTTTTTACATTATTTATTTTTTAACAAAGAAAATCATTTTTTTTTCTACTCAAGTTTTGATGCTGAATTAGAAAAAAACTTATTTTCAGAGTGTTAAGCAAAAAGATTATTGAAGCTTAAGAGATACTTTGAGAAAAAAAAAAACTTCGGTCGTATTTGTAGTCTTATCAATAGTTGAAGTTTTTTGCAACGAAAGCGAAAGGTAATTGAAGTACAAACTATGCATTGGTAACCAACTCTTGAAGCTTTATCAGACCACATATAAATCGATAAGAAATAAAATCCATTGAAATTTTGCGTTATGTGCGCCTTAATGTATCTGAATACACACTAGTCAAATTAGTTATTTATTTACCAAAGTGTATTATGCTACAATATTACTTCATAAAGTTATATACAGTTTTGTAGCTTATTAAATTCCCTATCGAATATCATATTAGCTAGAATCATGTATATAATCTGTAATAACAAAAAAATGTGCCGAAAATTCAGTATTTTCTTTTGAAAATTTAGCTAAAATAGAAATTCAACTCTGCTCACGACACGTAGAATATGATGGGACGTCTTTTCACTATAACACTTTTTTATTATAATAAATTTTATATCTGAAATTGCAGATAAGATTTTTAAAAAACTACTGTTAGACAAGCAAAAATGCATCTAATAGGAAAATCAATATTTCTGTAAGAATACTCATTCAATTGTTAGAAAAATTCTAGAATATATACAACTTTTGTCACTGTAACACATCATATAAGAATCCAATGAAAACTTTTTGTCTGAAAATTTTTCGAAATTCTATACCAATAGGTGTAACCCAAGAATGTTATATAACTTGCGAAAATCTCAGCTCTGGCAAAACGACTTCGTTTGTTGAAAAACAATGACAGTTTATGCAGTTTCATTTTTTCTATGAAATGATTGAAAAACCTATAGATCGTAGGGGGAGGGTCCTCTTTAAAATAGAATTATATTTGTAAATTGTAAGAAATGTAAAACTTGATTTTTTAGTATTTGAGAAATATTATCCTTTGAAAATCATCAATCTTTTTCATCTTTGAAAATAAAATTCTCTAAGCAAATCACTATTCGAATTCTCATTAGCATTTATGACAGTAAGAAAAAATTGAAAATAAATCTGGTCGAAATAATTTTGAACGCTGCTATTATTCTATTGTTGTTTTCTCATTAACAACAAAACTATGAATAGCTAATTACTATTCAAGAGTTTTCAGTTTCATTTATTTAAATATTATTTTTACTTGATTTTATTAAAGAATTTTTAAAAACTAAGCTTTCCCTAAACTGAAATGTTACTCTTCGTGTATTCTTTTTATTAACATAAAAATCTTTGTTTTGTTATTTTATTCAATTGAAATCTAACAAAATTGTCTCTATATTAAAAGTGAGAAGAATTTTAAATAAACCTTCGAGATTTATTTATTATCATTTTTCAAGTACGCAGTAGAAATGAATAATAATACTAAAAATAGTCAACAATATAGATAAAAAAAAAGCAGAAGGACAATATTAGAAAAAAAAATATAACACACGAAAAAAAACATTCGTTGAGAATAATTTCACGTTTAGAAAAGAGAATAGATTTCTTTTTTTCTTCTCATAAGTGAAGTATGTAGACAAACGAATTTAATTTCATACGGATCAAATTTTTTCTTCTTTTTGTTTTTTGAATGTAGATGATCAATAATGTTTACATCATACATAAATCAATGAATGAATATATATATCAAATCCTCAATTGATTCTTTCTTTTCTTTTGTTGTTCTCATTCTATTCATCGAATAGGTTTCAATCTGCTGCCACCTCTAACCATTACTTACAACGCTATAAATCCTACATTCATTTTTTTTTCTCGGTTTGTCATATTGTCAGCTGCTCTTTTGTTTGCCACATGTGACACATCGTTGTGATGATTATATATTTTATTTAGTGTTATACCACACGGAAGAACAACACATAGACACATATACTCACATAGACACATTTAATTGATAAGATATAACAATGCATCTTTTAGGCGACTTAGCCAATATAACATCGTTACGTTTAGAAGATTTACTTAAAGATTTAGATGAACCTGATAAAGAACGTCAAGCATTTGTTGATGATACTCGACAATTTTTTGAACAACGTCTTTCAATTTATGAACAAAAACGAAATGAATTAGAAAATTCAATTAAAAATTTAATTGAACAAACGTATCCATTATATGATGAACTTCAATTACCACGAATAACATTTGATAATAATCAAATGACATTAATTGAAAAAAAAAATTTTATTAATGAAAAAATCAATGAATTAAAAAATATGATATTAGAACGTAATAAAGAACTTATTCAATTACGACAATTAATTATTATTAAAGCGAAATTATGTGGAAATATTAATATTAATATTGATGAGGTTAGAAAATCAATTCATTTCTAAGACATATATTAGCCAAATATTTTTTCTTTCCTTTTATTAAACTAATTCTGAACTCTTGCGCAACTAGAGAAAGACATAATGGATTGTAGACAGATGCCAGAACAATAATTCTACGTACATAGCACATAATTCTTTTTGACAGATTAGCAGACGAACGGTAATTTTAAATTTTCGTTCATCATAGTTTAGACAAAATTATAGTATGAGGAAAAAAAATTTTATTGTGTAATAGATCGCTTCGAGCGAAAGGATATCCTACACCATTATCTTGAGAAATGGTGTGCTTTTAATTTATCAATTCAATGTAAATTGCTTGTGTTCTCTGATGAAAATCTTCATAAAAAAAAATCATAGTTGAGTCCCTGAATATGCTCACAAATTTCATCATCAAAAATGTTTAAGATTGTCAATACAATATTATCATATATATATACAGTACTAAATACAAGTCTCTGAAAATCTATTTTCTTCTATAAAGATAATGATTAAGGAATGTTATAATCCAGTTAATACAGAAAAAGTAGTTCGATAAGATAACTGATTCTCTAACTTTTTAATCAAACATCAACAAAGAAAGCATAAAACTGTTATAGTCGAACTGTTGATGTTTATACATTAATATGGATTTTTTTTAAAAATAAAATCATCTACTTCATAAATAATTATAAATTATGTATATAATATCAGCATATATAATTGAAAGAAGTGATTGAAAAATCGGAGTATTTCACGTAGAAACAGCCATGAAATATTACTTTTTTTTTTATATGATGACAAACAAAAGAACTTGTTTTATATTTTTGACCTTGTACAAGAAAGTACTTGAAGCACAGAACATTATTAGAATGACTCTAACAAAAAAAAAACACTAGGAAAAAACTCTCATCAAACAAAAAAAAAAAACATTCTGTACCTTATCAAAATATTTCTCGATCTTTTAATAAATAGCCATTAATAGATAAGAACAATTAATGAGGTTTGATGTGATTATATAACGGAATAGATATGATAGATTTATTGAGATTCTCTCTCTCTCTCTCTACATAAAGCTGATAATAACTTTATTTAATCATTATCTCTAGAGAGAAGTCAATAGCTTTTCAGAAGAATTATAATGTTTGTCAAAATTATTCAACATCAATTAAGCAAGACATAATAATCCATTGATTGATGATATGATACATAAAACATATCAGTATAGTTAATTTTTCATTTCTATAATGTAAATATAATTTTTTGTTCAAGTGTATAAATAATGTAGACATAATTAAGAAACAGGAGTTTATTATTAACACCAATATTTGTTTGATCGTCTAATACGACTTGCCTTATTATCTTTATATGTTCTTTTTTTAAAATCAGTCAAATGACTTCATTCGTGCAAATAAATCTAAAACATAATAAAAATTAGTGAGTCAACTAAATT